CTTTGCGCATTGTTACAAGGTGCTTTCACATTTAATCACTCAACAATTTAAATGGAACCTATTTCAGGGCTGATTGTTATATACTTATCTTGAGTTTACAATGGATTCAATAAACAAATGAAAGAAACAGCTGATTCTTTACCTCTGTGGACAAATCCTTCAGTCATTTGACTTGTTTGGGCTTGGGATGACTACGTATATCCCCCCTAAAAGTAAACAAATTTGCATCAAAATCAGATTGTAACAAATTATTTGGAAAGTAGTAGTTATTTAAATGGTTTCTGGGCTGCTTTGTTTTTTGGGGAATTCCTGTTGGCATTTAAATGAGAGATGCATACTCTAATAAAAGATTCCTACATTCTTCTAGTGCTCTGGAATATCATCCATATGGTTTGAGTGACTTTCAAGTGCAGAGGACAAGGATTTTTATTTGGGTAATAGCAACAAGAATGTATTTCTACCAGTCTGTGTTATGATGCAGCTATAAAACATTTGGAAAACCAGACTTACCCGAACTCATACTGTACGTACGATACAGATACTAATCTTGAGGGCATTCTGCTCGAGCTGCGGTTGGTAAGTTTTAATAGACGCCGGGTTTGAAAAGCTTGTGGTTTCTTTGAAAATACAGTTCAGGTATGATATTAACTCTGACCTTGGGCTGTGCAGAAGAGATCTCATTAATTAACTTTTTCTGAGATATCTGAACACATCCCTTTATATACATAGGCTGATTATACATAGGCCCTTTACATATGGCTGTTTCTAATGCCTTGTTCTTTTGCATCTCTACTGCTTATGTGTAAGTGAATTAACAATCTTTATAAATACAAACACTAGAGACCCCAAGGACAGAATTATGTATATACTTTTTTCTTAAAAAAAAAAAAAAGTTTTCATGCAAGGAAAGCATTACGAAAATTCTAATATTCTCTAATTTGGATCATATCTTCTGTAAAAGCTTATTGGAAAGAAAAATACTTTGGTGGTGGGGGAAATGAAATTGTGTTTCTCTTAAATAAATACTAACTTATGTTAGACCTCTAAGAGACAGAGGAGGCTTTGGAAATATACAGTAAGTCTCACTTTCCAAAAATGTCTAAATGCTCTTTAGGCCCTGTTTCAGAATGAAATTTTGACCTTAAATAATTTCAGAACATGCAAATACTTCACACATTATAGAGAAGAAGTTCCTCTCTAAGCCTGTGGCATAGAAACATTTTCACTTTTTAAAAGAACACAAGTCTTTAGGAGCAGGGGAGAAGGTAAAAGGGGCCAGAAAAAGTCATGGTTTGGGTCAGTAGTTTCAGCAATTGTGGAGAGGCTGTATGGACAGAAAGGGCAAAAGTTTTAAAGGTTTACCTCATCAAAGATAAATTCAGCATGGCTCGTCGTTCGAACAATTAATGTATGTAGACACTAAAAGGAAAATATTTGAATTAGGAAAATACAGACTGTCTGGCCTCAGTGTTCCACCTTTTAGCATTTTTCACTAGTCTTGTTTCTTTTATTAGATTATAGCCCTTGTCTTGCAAGTGCTCCCTACATCCAAACACTGTGTGACCTCTACTGCTGAATGCCAAGTTTACATATGCTATATCGGGAACACATTTGTGTGTACAGACTACAAGACACTGGAGTCGTTAAATGGCCCAGTTTACCAGAGTTTGTGTCTAGTGAGTGCTCAAAAGAAGCATAAAATTTATTTTTTCCTCTTAATAGATGGCGATTATTATATTATACTATTATTTTGGGAAGGAAAAGAATTAAATATAATGGCTTCTTCATATAAAGAGTCTGGGAAGGCCTGCCATAACCTCTCTGAACGGGTCTTACCATATAGTAATATGATAAAATCTTGTTTTAGAAGCTACTACTGGTAGTCAACTCTGACATTACTTAGAACATTTTGATCACCCTTAAGGAATCTTTTAAATCTTTATTATTTTTTATTGTTTATAATTTCCGATGCATTTACCTAATGCTTCAGAAATTAATGTAGCCATCTGGTCTGAGCAGCACCCAATTTATGATGGCCCTATCTTACCACCCAAAGCATTACTCCCACGAAGTGCCTCATTTCTATGTGTAATGAGAACGAAATTTCAGTGAAAGAGACTGCATTATGATTCTTTTCCTTCGTTACTTAACTAGACATGAGAACAGTTGGAAAACAAACTGAAAAGCGTTCATCAGAATTTGAAACTTGCAGTTGAAATGTTTGTGGGCAGAAAGTAAGACACTACTTGGGAGTAGATCAGCAGTAAACTAGCAGATGGGCGGTTGTGATGCGTTTCCAAAGTGTGATAGGGTTACATTATATTTCAGTTAAAGAACGACAATATTAGTGTAGCAATCGTACATGCAACTGAGACCCCTGAAAAATTCAATCTGCTACTTCACTGATTACACAGCAAGGAATAATTCCAGGGTTTTGGTTTTGCTGCCTGCCTTTGTTGCCTGTATAGACCTCAGAGAATAACAATCAAGAAAGTAATATCTATGCTGGTAATGAGTCATTTGATGGGTAAATGTTGTGGGTTATGAGCTACTGAACTACTCAACTTCAGTTTCTCATCACTTATTTGAGCTTTTGGTTGTCCAGATTTCAAATTCTCCTGAAAGCAGTGTCATGGTTTTGGGTCTGGTTATGACATCAGTGCTCAGACAGAGGAAAGCAGGGGACAGCTCCCCATGACTTTTTTCTTTTCTTGCCTTTTTTGTTTTATGTTATAATTTTATACTTTTGCTGAATTCGTGTTCTTTCAGGCCTGTGCTTTCCCATAATAGCAAACCAAATTCAAATGTCTGTACTAAGACTGGGTTTTGGACTAACTTCTTTTGTCTGGAGACTCGATCACAAATGAAACTAAATCTGGGCTTATTGTTGTGCACTTGAAGCATATGTTTTTTCAGTTTAGAACTGTAATTAGCCAGTTCAGCAAATGCAGTGCAGCTGACGTTCAAGATGGGATGAGGTGTGGACTATAAGCCCTCAGGTAATCTTAACTGTTCTTGGTCTTTTCTTGCATGTGAAATTTCTCAGGTTGCATTTTGGGCTGGCAAACCTCAAGACAGCAAAGAAAACCACGTTCTGTAATGCTACCAGGGAGTAAAGCACCAGCAGAAAAGTATATCACAGTAGGGCTCAGTGAACTTCCTGATACAGAACTTGGATTTACTGTAACTTTTATGGCCTTACAATATACTGAAATTCAGTCTCTAGTGAATATGCAGGAAGGCAAACTTAAATCATCATAACTTCCTTTCATTCCAGATGGTTTCTATAGGCTTCTGAGATTTACCTTCAACACAGAGTGCATTTGTAGTTTTCAAGTTTATCGTAACAATTCTTTTTGCTACTACCTTTGCAAAAGCACTGTGATTTCTTTAATGTAATGGGAATGTAGGAAAGTATATTATATCTGTTCTATAAAACCTAAGCTCCTATCCATTAGTCTTGCTAAAGGATAAAAATAAAAGGTAGGTCTAGAAAAAACACTGACCCTGGACATGCAAATCACTAGGTCTGACCTACACTGTCTCCATACTGAGGAAGAAAGCCTCGTGTCAACAGGCGGATGGGTTATGCTATGATTGTTGAAACTGGCACAGCGGAGTCGAATTTCTAACTCTCCTCTCTCTTTTTTCCCCCTTTTATTTCTCTTGTGAGAATTGTTAGTTCAGAACCATTTATTGTGGAAGTCAACCAGTTTTGATTTTTCTAAAATACCCAGCACCAGGTCAGATACCTCAAGATCTTGGGCTAAACTATGCTTCATGATATGAAATAAAATACAAAATTGCTTTGACCTTTTTTTACATTTTCACCTTCTAATTAAACCTTTGAAAGACTAATGTGATTCTCTGCAAAGTACTACCCTTTGCAGAGAGTATTATGATAATTGTATTGCGTTAGCCTGTAGTATCTTGAGGGCACTTAACTTCAGCCTGAAGCCCTATTGGATACCATAAAGATGCTCCAGAAATTTTAACTAACCACAGAGACTGCCTCTGGGTGTAGGGGTAGTTTTAGTGGTCTTGACAAAGACCACTATTTGACAAAGTCCAGATTAAATAAAAGTAGTAAAAGAAATATTGAGGCTGTCGCTAATGACTTATTATTTTTCTTTCAATTTGTCGTTCACTTATTAATGACCCTTTTTAAGATTTTAAGAGCCCACAATTGGTAGAACCAATATTTTAAAGCTTTTTATTTAAAAAAAAAAAGGGGGGGGGAGTGGGGTGGGCAATATTTCCATTTATAGCTTTCTGATTATCCAGGAATGAAGCCTTAGTTTTTTTGTTCTGTGGGGTTTTCTTGATTGTGTTGTGTTGTGGCTGTTGCTTTTCATTTTGGCAGAGAGTATTCTGACTGTAGAGTTTGTTTATGAATGTTTCTGAAAAAATAGGGTGAAATTAAACAACATAGAGATTTTTTTAATCCATATTTCTGCATGATTTGTAAACATGCAACACTTTCTATTTTAAAAATCCCCATTAAGCGACGTCTAGAAGTACCCAAGATTGGAATATAGGAACTCCTGGAAAGGGGAATGTGATGCTGTCTTTTCTGACACGCAGTAAACTTCAACAGTAGTTTCTCTTTTTTCTCTCCAGTTGGCAAACAAACGCACGCGGTGTGAAATGCACTCGGACTTCAGTATTATCAAGGGGATTGCTACCAAGTCACGCATTTCGTGACGTGCCCTTGTAAGCGTGCTGCTCTTCGGTTACAGTTTAATAGTCCAATCAAATGAGCTGCAAGTCACATTGGAATTTTTTCTCTACCTACTCCTGAGATCAGAATCTGAGGGTAGAGACACTTCCACACGATAAGGAGAGAATGAGGGGAGGCGAATCACTGCATTACTTCCTTCGTGTTATTTTTGGATATGACTAGTATTCCTCCCCTTACACACACCCTCTCCTTCCCCCAGCCCCCATCTCCCACACGCATTGCAAGCTCATACAAACACTCTCCCGTACTCTGAAGCAAAAGCAAGAGCAACGCTTGGACTGAAGCCAGAGGGTCATCACTCTGCTTCCTCATTGCCAGCAGGCTTTGTTCTTTGGAATCAGCCAGAACCAGGGAGAACGTCTTCACTGCTGAGCGCGAGTGGCTGGAATTTGGCAACTCAGCTGTCTATTAATTTTTTCTCTGCTTTTCTGCAAACTAGGCTGAATCTAGAGCAGCAAAGCTGAGAGCCGGGAATAGTTCAGAAATAAAGGATCCAGAGACCATCAGCTATACTTTTCTTTGCGGGGGCTTCAGTTCCACAACGGTAAGTGCCAGCATTCCATGTTTATAAAGATTCAAGAAACATTAAGGTGCTTTAGCTGTTTTACTACAATAGGGGAAGGGAAAAAAGTATGTGAGTGAATCATACAGTGTGTGCTCAGCTATAGTGGTCTGGGAACAGTGCCTAGCAGTAAAAATGTTCCTCATTTCTCCCTTTCCAAAAAGCACTATAAGAATGTATATATTTTAGCAAAATTCTTAAATACCTGTACTGTTCCGGAAAGCTTTCCAAATGGTTTCATTGTTGGGTTTTCTGCAAATCTGTTTTGGTTTGAACTGTGTGTAGTATGAAGTAACTTTAACTAGCAGAGTAACCTATTTAAGTGCGAGGGCTGAACCTGGAAAGGAAAGATCTTCCATCACAGAGGTTACAAACAGAATTAAAGTTCAGGAGCATGGGGGAGTGAAAAGGGATGAGATGCTTCCTAATACTGTTTGCGCTAAAGGAACCCAAAATAGACTGGTTTTAAACGACTGGCATTAATTCGGAGCACACACCCCCTCACTACCCTCCCCAGCATTAGGAGCCAAGTGAATCTGGTTTTAAAACCAGAAAGCTTCTAGGATCTGCTACTGTTCCAGGGCATGCAAGTGAAAGCTGATCTGCAGTGGAACAGAGAGCAAGCTTGGGTAAATGACTTTGAGAGAGGACAGGAGTTGCAAAAAACACCCTTGATTTTCTTCCAATAAGCAAAATTATTTAGCTGTTCTTGCTTTATGAAACACAGCTGCCTTTTAAGTTTACCAGCGGGATGGATAGCTTTGTTACAGGACCTTTTTTTTTTTTTTTTCATCTCCCTCGCACGTCTTTAGGAAAAGTTTTAGGATGATCAGCACAGTGGCAGGTTAATCCAAATGCTTTGCTTTCAGAAATGCCATCTAGCTGTCAAAGGAAATTCTCTGCAGGGACCCGTTTGTTTTAAAGCTGCTGAGGAACATTGCTATCAGCATGCTGTTATGTCTTTCTACACAGGTTATCCCAGTAAAGTGACAAATAAACTTTGTCATCCAAGTTCAACTCTAAAAAATTTTATTAAGGGGGGGAAGACCAGTTGTTTGAATGTACTTTAGTAAAAATATATATATATGTACACATATATACTGGGACAATAGACCTGAAAAGAGGAAAGCTTTCCTTTCCCTTCCCTTAGCTCTGGCTCCAGATGCTATTTCCAGTAGTTTTTCCAATATTTTATGTTGACAAGAGGAGTGGTCCCTTCCCCCTCCCCCTTATTAACTGCTGGTTATGAGGGATTTGTGGAGGTGAATCCAGTCACGTGAAAAAAGATGCTGAATAAGCAAATGGGTGGTTGTGCAAATTACAGCAGGCACGGTCCGGTTGTTTGAGGTCTGTAAGTTGGCTTTTTCTAATTCAGAAACATGTAACCCGAGCTCTCCCATTCTGACATTCACCCTGCGCCTGGAAGAACATTCTGCCTGCTGTGGCAATTGGTAAAAATGACCGGCTGAATTCTGTTTACTATGGAATGACGGAAAAAGTGCTCAGCACAGGATAGCGTGCAATATGTCGGGATGCTGGGGATGCTTAGCACACATTTCGTTTGCCGTGTACTAAGGCGCTTCTTTCTGTAGCAGTTACTAGCTCTATTTCTGGCAAGTTATTCACTGAACTGGAATTGCACACTACAGCTAGCAAAGATTCTTTTTCAGAGCTAAAAATGGAATGGTGCTTTCCTGAGCTGGGCTCCCCCCTGCCGATGGCACCATGTCAGGTTGCCTCAGCAGCTGCTTTCAGTTTCACAATTTACATGGGTGCTATAATGACATTTTTTTTCTCATTGATGTGGTGGAAAAATCTGACGTCTTTATGCTGTTTTTCCTACTTTGATACGTTAAAGCGTATTTTCTACTGACTGTGAGGTTTGGCAATGAGTATTGAGTAAAGAGGCCTGTACTTAAAGCCTTGGATTCCAACATCCATGAAGTATGCGAAGGTTAATGACTGAATCCAAACGTCTTGGCTCTGGCCTATTCCTGGTTTAAATGCACATTGCTTTGGCCATATGTTTAAATTGTTTTTTGAGGTGATTAAGGCTGAAAAATCTTTCAGACTGCAGACAGACTTTTAAAGAGGAAGTGGCATTTAAGCATCTTAGAGTGAGTTAAGTAAAGCTTGCTCATTTGCTGTTTAAACTTGACTTTTAGGAGCCCCCAAGGAATCACATTCCCCTTCCTCTTTTATAACTTTAGAAGTAAGCAGTGCTTTGGAACGCGTTCTGCAATGGGCTGAGAAAGTTACGGTGCTTTGTCTTCGTCGCTCCTACTTGCCGTGGAGAGTGGGGGAGGCTAGCAGCACGCACCCAAGCACCCTCGGTACCTCAAAGGGGTTTTTTGATCCGAAGTGACCTGCCTATAAGCTTTTAACAACGCGCCATATACAGACTCACGCGTGCAACAAATTGTGGTGGCCCGCGGTAAGAAATACTGCAGTGCAGCGTAAGGGGATGCACGGGTTGTTACCGAAATCATGGTTATTCTGCTTTTTTTAATTGGTCGACTTCCCCGAGTCTGGCTAGCTTAATGGATTTAAGTACAATTCCACATGCATCTGCCAGCTGCTTGTGGTATCGCTGTTCGCTTCGGCAAGAAAAGCTGTTCGTTGGCTGTGTTGGCTCACTGGTTTGTGACACGCAGCACCGATTTATTAGGCAGTATTCGCCTTTTTTTTTTTTTCTTTTTCCCTTGAATGATTGAACTGTGATGTCACATTTAGTCTTGGCTTTAACCTTTTAAAGAACTTTTTTTTTTGCTGCAGACTATTCCCTTAACACTGGGGAAGTGGGAAATGTCCCAGTGTTCACTGCAGAGCAACTCTGTCTACCCCAGCACATTCCAGGGCCACCGAATCATTTGTGGTGAGAGTGATTCAGATCTGGGTAGGATGATTTAAAAGAGAGGTTATGGGCATACTGCAGTTGTGCATTTAAGAAAATACAGAGAGTTTTTTACTGCCTGATTGAGACCACATGGCTCCAACTTTGACTTTTTTTTCATGTGGAAATTGTTGGCTGGAAGTACTCAAACGACTTTTTTGCTTTTTAATTAACTAGAGGCTGAGTTGGGATCATAGCATTTAATGGTAAGGTCAAGGTTAAAGCAAATAGTTTTTAATGTTCTTTTGAATAAGAGGAGAAATGGCTTCTTTGAATATTTTGCACAGAACACAAACATGCCTCTCAAATGAGAGCAAATGTATCTCAGGAATTCTTTTGGACATTACAGGGTAATTGGTGACCTGATTTGAGAGGGAGAAGGATAGAGATAAGGGAAGATCCCCTGTCATAAAGCACAGTAAATATGTTCTGTTCCAAATATGTTATGGAAAGTATAAAAGTAAAAAGAAAGGACAATGACCTTTTTTGATTGTATGCAGTTTAATTGCTTACTCTCAAACTTAGCGTTTTGGGTTGCTCATAAGAGGAGTGAAAAGGTTATATTATTAAACTTTTTATTAAGCTGTTACAGTTATCTAGAACAAAGTATATCCCTAATATGAAGGATGAGATTGTAATAATTCTAGGCACTCTCTAGTATTATACTCCTTTTATGCATACTGTTTATTCTGGAATAGATACTCCTAATCAAATCTTGTTCTTCCCTCAGTACTCTCATAGTTCTTTCCTCTCAATTATATCCTTTCTCCCACAAACTGATATATAGCACTTCATATAAGAATTTTATCCAAATCTCCTTCAAATGTACTAGATAGTTGATTTTTTTTATATGTATTCTTTCTAAATGGGGTTTCAAATTTAGAAAACAGATCAAAAGTTACAGCATTGAAACACACTGTTTATTCTTGTCTCTGGTTAGAAGATGAAGGAAAGATGAGGAACAATTCCTACAGTAGTTCTGCATACATGGTAATTTATCTAGAAATAATATATAGGTATTATTCTGTAACATTAAATCCTATAAACAACACTTACAAGCTTTTTTCTGTCTTTAAGTATTGAGGTAGTAAATTTAGCTAGCAAAAACCGGAAAAAAAGAAGATAATAATTGGTTGTATATCTGTGTATAGCCTTTGGAACTCTTTTCTTGCTCAGCATTACTTCTCTCACTACTTTCCAGGACACATGTGAACTTTGTTCTTAACTTAAAGAAAAGGATAAAAGCTAAAAAAAAGAAAAAAATCCCAACCTTTAACCTGGGTTCACAAATCACTGAGTTAATTTCTGCCTCAGATAAACTACAGTGTAAATGTTTAAAAGTTATTTGCAGTTTTTTTGAAACTTTGCAGTGCAGAATGCAAGTGGGAAAGCTATTAGTATTTCTGAATAACTGCTGTGAGAATTAATCAGAGGTCAAAACGTGTGTTACAGCACCGTGACATTCCTGTCTCTGATTTGTTCATGTGCTGTGTCAACGTTCAGTTTCTGTGCTAACGCGTATGAAATATATAGAACCAACCTGAACTGGTTTTATAGGAGACAGTCCCAATTGTAGCGTGGGCAGAGCAGTACAGTTTTGCTACCAAAAAAAATAAAAAAGGTAGCATGGCCTTTATATTGCCCAGTCTTAAAAGATACATCTTTTGCCTCCAGTCTGACAAATTCCAGTGCTGCTCAGTGCTTTACAGATTGTCGCAGGGGTGGCACGGTTCTGCTGCTCAGGATAGGTGAGGATATATCTGTGTCTTCATACAAAGACCAGAACATTCTGTTCTTTGAGACGCCTCTAGACCAGTTTGATAGGGCTGCTGAGGTATTCATCTGTAATTGATTGGCATTCGTCATTGTTCCCAAACTAAATGACTGTGTACATAGCTTTTCTGACTGCAGTGGTGATGCAATCTGCCTTGCTCTGCTCATACATAGAACAGTTCCCCTCTCTTCAGCCAGTTTTTCAAACAGCAGAGGCGTGATGGAAAAGGGCTGGAAATAAGGATCAAGGAATTCCAGGATTTACATGGGCCACAGCAAGCATATATGAATAGTAGTCATTGCAAAAGGGAGTAGA